TCTCAGCAGCCAGCCATAACGTGGGCCAGAAGAGTGTTTTTCCATGGGGCAAAGTGGGAAAATGGCGAAATTATTTTCAAATGATGTAGTACTCGTACTCACAGTTCCTCGGGGCACGGCACCGACTGGCACAGCACCGACTGGACGGCTTAATGAATGCCGCAGGAACAGAAAAACCAGAGGTGAAGCAGACCAGGAAAGCACTGCCAATAACGGGGCGAAAACAAAGAGAAATATGTTTGAAATGCGGGTGGAAATTAGCTGGAAAATGTCATCATCAGCACTGGCCACACAATGAAGAAATAACTAAAAAATAATTAGGAAAATCCCCCACAACCGAGCGAGTAATTACAAAAGGAAAGCGACCCGTCGACCCGTCGACCACTCGACCAGTCCCAAGCGTCCAGTTGCTGGTCGAAATCAATAAAAGAAAAACCGAGAGCAAGCTTTAAAATAAATAACAGAACAGAAAAAGTTATCAGAAGCATCTAAGGAAAGAAAACTCGACCGAAGAGGGGCACAATGATGCTCTGAGGATGATGATCCAAATAAGGAGAAACCAAAAGCACTCAGAGCCAGCACAAACAGGAGAGGAGGCAACATTGCCAAGCAAAACATATACAAAATGTATCTCAAATTTAAACAGAAACTGAAACTGAAAGTGGGTCCATCATAGATTGATGTTGAGGCGATACTGGCTGTTTCGTGGAGGCTTAAAGTCGGATTCTGTTCAAGTTAATGTCGCCTCTACGCTTCTCCTCCATCTGTCTTTTTCTATAAGTAGCTATCAGTACGTTACCCCTCCATTATCCGTGAGTAGCGATTGCCTATAAGCCACACTGCGCTCCCGCTGGTTCTAGCCCCAAGGTCAGTGCAACCGCTGTGGCTGTGGCAGCCTTCAGCCTTCAGGCACACCAGCGGGTGGCAAGTGATGAGATGAACTTTCGTTGCGTTTGCTTAACCGCTTTTGACATTTCGATATAAGTAAGTACAGAAGCTAAGCTCCACTCTTGGTATCATCTTTTCCCTCCCTCTCTCTCGCTCTTCTCCCATTTACTGCTCTGTCAATACTCGGCAAACATACAGAATGAAAGAAAGAAGGCCACAAAAGCTACAGCCTGGAAGGAAGCAACAGTAGCAGGAACAGGAAGAGGAACAGCAGGCAGGCAATATAGGAAAAGACACCCACAAAAGGCTGGTAAAAGCTTAGGGGGAAAACTACTACAGAAACAAGAGCAAGAGTGTTTGGGGGTGTGGCAGGGGCAGGGGCAGAGACAGAGGCAGGCCTGAACAAGTGTGTGGGAGTGCAAATGAAGGATATGCATTAGAGTTCAGCAAAGAGTTCAGAAAGAATGTACGAAGGAAGCAGAACCTTTCAAGCCTGCAAAAGACTTGCCAACAAATTTACACCAACAACAACAACAGAATAGAAAAACGATTCAAAAAGTACGGGAAAACATGCACACAACTACAAGAAACCATCAAAAACTGTATAAAATTGGAGTAGAAACTGCAAAAGCGTACAACCAGAAATAAAACACACACCAAAAGCTTCAACAACAACACACCAACACAACACAACACCGCACACCATGGAGAACACCTTGAAGGACTGACCAAATTGCATTTCAAATGTTTTTCAAACACCTTTAACAGGAAGCGGAAACCAAAAAGAGAAAATACTATTTGCATTGAAAATGTTTCTCTTTTTTTTGCAGTTTTGTAAGGAAAAACATGCATGAATGGAACGAAACGAAACGAAACGAAGCCGGCTTAGAGGGATTACCAGGATTCATGTTATATATTCCCCGGAGAGCTTTGACATGGGATTTAAATTTAATCTGATCTATTATGAAATATTTTGCATTTTTGTAATTAAGAGAAATATTCAAGAAATGTTTGCTGTATAGTGAAATATATAATTGTGTATTTGGTACAGTACAGAACCCCACTGAGGAGAACATTCCTGTGTTTTAATTTACTAACTCCTTTTCTGTGTACCAGAGCTCCCCTGTACTTGACGAGGGGCGGGCAAATTAAGTAATTTTCATGCACAAATTAATGCAATTTCCTTGCTTCTTCTGCAAACACTCGACATATCCCACTGGCCTTCCATTAAAAATCAGAGCCACTTCAACCGCAATACATTAATGAACAGCCAAACGAAGTAAATAATACACAAAAAAGAAAAACAAATTAAAGCTGCAACAAAAAGCGAAGAAGCACGAGCGACGGGCTTAAATGCAAAATGTTATGTTTGCAATTAAATGATGTATTTACGAGTAAGTAGGGCAAAATGCACGAGTCGGGGCTTGTTAACATCGAGGCGGAGACACAATTGAAATGTGGCACGAACGACGGCTCTCCAAAGCGGAGGGAGGGATGGGGGAGGGAAGGAAGGAAGAGCGGAAGGACGTACACGCCGGGAGGAGGGGCCCCGAAGGGAAGGTGAAAGACACATCCTGCACAGTAGCCGGCGTCCTCATCCGCAGACATGTGTTAATTGTATTGTTCTGGCGGGCAAAGGATGGTGATTGCGACTGTGGCAAGGTGGCACGGTGGCACGGTGGCACGGTGGCAAGGTGTATCTGGGGATCCAGGGGGTGGCACCCCCTCGAAAAACCTTCAATTGCTGTTACACTTTTGTTTCCACTGTTGTTTTACACGCAGCTGGTCTTTGTTGTTGTTGCAATTCGTTGTTAATTTTTTTATTGTTTTATTTTGTTTGCCTTCATTGTTGCTGCTGGCTTTCCCCGAGTGTTTGTTTAGCTGTTAACAATATTTTCGAGTGCATTTCGAATTTACATTTCGCCGGGAAATTGGCCCGCCACCGACCGAGCACTTAACTCAAATTTAAATTTCGGATTATGTTTTGAATTATCTGGAATATTTATTCGGATATGGGATTTAATGTTGATTGCGTTGGCAAACATTTAAATTGACATTAATCGGGCGAAATAATTGAGGACGTTTATGAGGTGACAAAAATGTTTCGGGGCTAATCATAAATCATAAAATATATTGCAACCGGAAATGGTTTGGACCATTACTATTTGCGGATAAGTGACGCTAATATTTGTTATAAATTAGCCAAATCATGTCATTAAATCCCCCAAATATTGGGCACATTATACATAGATAAATATCTGTGCAAATACGAGTGCCCTTCACGCTTTTGGGAATCGGATTTCGGGTACTTCTGGTTTCCAATGTACAGAACTTTTGCCATTTACTGACTGGTTTCGCATCAAACTGTAAACTGTAAACTGTAAACTGTAAACTTTAAGGCCATGGCAGTTCTCGATGAAGTTTATCTTCTCCCGTCGCTCGACTTAATGACATCGATTACCCGGAGACATCAAGTGCGAGCCACTCATTTCAGTGACAGGGGCTCCACAGCTAACTGCCGTTCGGGCTGCAGTAAAGTCAAAATGGTTGGCCAATAAAAACAAACAGCCAGCACTAAAATCAACAACAGAGAGTTCTGGTTAGCTGCAATTTCCCGCCGGAACTAGTGGGTTCCGCTCCACTGGGGCTTCCCTCCCGCAGAACCAATATTATTTGCTTTGGGGCTAATTTAATTTGTCCTTTTTCGAGGTAATTACGCTGAGCAAAGGACAGACCTGACCTGAGGGTCGCAGGATCAAAGAAACGCATGAAAATGCAATTAAAATTGGACGTTCGCCGCAGAAAAAATAAATAATACGAACACTGACAACAAACAACAGCTCAAAGCAGGAACATGGAGTGGAAGGGAAGGGAATCCAAAAAGTGCAAATCAAATGCAGCAAATTAATTGCTGTACCCTTTGCAGAGGGTACCCATGGCTATTCCGGGAAAGGAAGGATTATCCAGCAAAGCTTTGAAAACTGCAGATTTCTTTACATGGAAGACACCCAACTCAAAGATTGATTTCTACATTATCTAGCAGATCATTTGATGGGTCTGCAAGGGTATCAGCATATTCGCTACGTGCATCTGGCCCTGGCTCTCTTGTTGTTGAACTTGTTGGTGTCGTTTCGAAGCTGGTTGTATCTGTTGTTTTTAACTCGTTCTGATGTCGTTGTAGTTGTTGTTGTTGTTGTTGATGTTGCAGGTGTTGTTGTTGTAATTGTTGGTGTAACTGTTGTCTCTGCTACTGTGCTGCTGCTTTCAATTAGCCAACCAGCAATGGAGAGTGGTGAGTGGTGAACGGTGAATGGTCAACCAAAAAGTGCAAATGCGACAAGCGCCAGCTGCTGTCCGGTGCCCCATCCCCCCCTCTAAGAACGCCCCGCTGGTCGCCCCGCCCCCTCCCCCCGCAAACACACGCCCCTGGCCTTTTACGACACTGGGTAAATATTTGACAAGAACAGGGGGCAAAGCGAAATTGTTTGTAGTTGCTGTTTCGCATTGCCTGTAAATGGGGCATTGCTGTTGTTGTAAGCCAAAATGCAAACGGCATTAGCCATGGTCAGTGCGTTCTGTGCCAAAGCACTGGGAGAAATGTGTGGTAGGAGATCGTAATGACATTTTGGAAATAACTGCCCAGCAATGCCTCCATGTAATGGATTCCCTTTTACTACGAACCTCCAGAGTTCCACTCATTTCTCGCAGTGTTCTATTCTGTTTACTTATGGATTTACCGACTGAGTAATCACCAAAATCAAAATCAAACTCGAAACCGAAACCGAAACCGAAACCGAGACCACAACCAAATTCTCGTAGACCCCCTCCGAAATCTGTTGGTCATTTGTGGCCACAGCTTTTTTGTTGCTGCTGTTGTTGTTGTTGTGGAAATGTCTGAATGAATCCCCTGGCTGCCATCGTACAGGCATGTCGCTTATCAGACAGAGGGGGCTGCCCTCGTGCCCCCTCAGCCCCGCACAACAATGGAGCAATGTCAGTGATCAGGGAGAGCAGCAACAAAAGCTAATGACATCATGGAATCTGTGGACGGAGATGAGACGCCGCCTTATCAGCGCACACAATGGGCGCAATGCCAGACCCCAACGACTCACCTCATTCTCAATGTTGTAAGAGGCTCCCCTTATGAGCGGGGTGTTGCGACTGGTCTCCCGCAGGGCCTGCAGCTCCTTCTGGTGCTTCTGCTGCTTGAGATGGTGCTCGTGCTCGATTTTGTTCCACTGCTCGTTGGAGAAGCTCTCCTCGGAGTCGGAGTCTGCGTCGGTGTCGGTGTCGTCGGAGGAGTCCTCCTCGTCCACCTCCTGGAGATTGGCGTCGATTAGCTGCAGCTTTGGCTTCACTGTGGGCTTCTCCGTGGCCTTCTCTGTGGGTCTCTCTGTCGTGTGCGGCTTCCTGACTACCACCAGAGCACGGTCCCTATGGGTCTTCTGCTTGTCCTGCTCCAGGTTCTGCTCCTTCTCCTTGTCCCTCTTGAAGAGCCAGTCGAAGATGTTCCTCTTGGCCGCAGCCTTCTCATGTGAATTACCCACACTGGGATGCTTGTTCCTGCTGGAGTTCATGTCCGATTCGTCGGACTGGTCGTAGGCATCGTACTCCTCCTCCTTCGACTCGATGTGCGGCAGCTTCTGACTGAAGAGCGAATAGCGCGGCATTTGTCGGGCCAACTCTTCGTCCACAGCATTGGAGCCGGAGTCCTCCTCGTACTCGTAGTCCTCATCATCGTCGTCGTCATCATCGTCATCGTCATCGTCCTCGGAGGAGGTGTCCACCTCCTGCCGCCAGTTGGGTCCCCGCGTAGACCTGGGCTCAGCCCATGGCGGGTATATTCCATCGCGATCGAAGTAGCGACTGTGATTGCCCATCATCGAGTGGGGTGGATGGGGGGCCTCGGTGGTGACGGCGGGTCTTGGAGTGGAGCTCATGGCCAGGCGGTGCTGCTGGTGACGCAGCGAGGGGAAGACTCTCTGCTCCCAGGTCACGTGGTGGCGGTTGTGATGACGCAAATGGTGCTGCTGCTGTCCCGTGGCCGCCGGCGGCAGCTGCTGATCGAATAGCTTCATGGCCGTGGCAGCTCCAGGTCCGACGCCCACAGACGGCGGCTTATGGTTCCCCTCGAGCTCCGCACGCAGATGCTGCTCGTGCCTCAGGTGGTGGTGGTGCTGGTGGGCCGCCTCCAGCTGCTGGGCCTCCTGCAAGAGCTGCAGACGCTGCTGCTGATGGGGACTGCGGTTTCCCATCTGCGGAGCTGTTGTGGTGATCACCGTCGACGTTCCTTTGGCGTCCCCCCCGGCCCTGATGAGGGGTACCAGCACTAGCAGAATCACCACGAACTTGGGGGTCAGTGGTCCCCCACTGCCCCCGCCGCCTCCTTGGGGAGGCATCGCCATTTCGAGTATTACCTTCGGCCTCTTAAATACCAGCTGAGAGATCCCCTGTTCTCTGCCTTTGTCTCACTTTTTTCGTACGCTCTTTTTGTGGAATTCTCTTTGTCGTTTGATCTTCTGTTTGTGTATATTTATTTTGCTTTATATATATTCATTTTTTTAAATATTTTCCTTTGTTTTGTGAGCTTATTGCTTATTGCTTCTTGCGTTTTATGTTTTGACACTGGCCGACACTTGCCGACACTTGTTCTATGTGTATTTCCCTTCTTTCTGTTTATTCTCCCAACTTTTTATAAAGGGAATTTTAATTGTTCTCGTTAATGGCACGCAGATTATTTTACGACACTTATTTTCACTTTTTACAACAATTTGTCATCTGGAAAATTTTTCGAGGAAACGCAATTAATTTTCTTTCAATGGTTTCCCACTTTGGAATACTCTTAAATAATGCAATTTATTTTGTATTTTTATTGTACAGTTTTTCACTTTTACTTGAGACCAAAAATTTTGTGTGATTTTAGACACTTTTATGTTTTATATTCTGGTTCAATTTTGTTTTTTTACTTTTTGCGTAATTTTTAATAAATTCAAATTTTAATGGTTCTTTTCGAGAACTTTTCTGTCCACTTTTATGCAAATCGCCTGCAAATCGGCTCAAAGAAAACGCGCGCGACTTTTGCCGCGATGCCAGCGGCAAGACAAACGCCCTCCTCGCACACACGCACGCACTTCCCACAGACGCACCGACACAGAGATACACGGCTCCACTTGTACGAATATAAGTACTATATGTACTGCTATATCTCCACTGATATCTGGTTGTTTGTGCACGAATTTGTTTGTTTGGACTAAGTTTGCCAGATGGGGGACTGGCCTCACAGATGGGGCATGCAGCACGTACCACTTTGATTTCTGGTCTATGCAGATGGCGGGGCTGGCTCCACGAATAAAGACAAGACCCGACGACTTACAGATAACAAATGCGGCACGAGATCTCGCATGGATTCTGAATGGAGATGCGCCATGTTGAGATGCAATGTTGGCAGACACACGTTACACTGGCAACAAATGTTGCGATCCACAAAAGTGGCTGTAGCTAGGAGAAGGCTGGCCTCATGCTGCCAGCAGCACGAAGCTGGTTTGAACAGTGGAAAATTGATAGGAAAATCTATTAGCAGAATAGCCCGAACTAGGCCTAAAGCGATGCAAATTTAATTTAGTTTGGAAAGGTTAATGTTAGCAGGTCTCCCACGTAATCTGGCTGAACCTCTTTAAACTGTAGTAATCATCGTTGGACGCCCATGCCTGCCCACATTTGCCTTTTACTTGAGAACTTCCTCTCGAGTTCCCGAGATTTGCGTTGGCTGCTGCTGCTGCTGCTGCTGGGCTCTTGTGTGTGGGCCGATGACCAGGCATTGCATTACATGGCTTAATAACATGGAGATTGGGGCTTCTTCAGACGGTGTTCACTTTTCCGTGTGTGACTTCCAGAGAATCCTGGGAATTTAATAACCTTGAACCCCGTCGAACAGTTTTCCAACTAATTGCCATTAAACGAATCGAGTAAAAAGGGTATCCGGCATGAGTCAGAGTTCTAGGGGCGGGGGGAGGGGGGAGGGGGTAGGAGGAAACACACATCTTAGCATGATCATAAAAAAGAGTCCCGTCCGACCCCTGACCTAAGCCTGATCAATGATAAAAGACGGGGAAAGGGGCTGATGAAGGGCTGATGAAGACTTGGAATTTTATGATTCTTCTTTTCTGTGCTGGAAAATTGATTTTCTTTGGTAAGCGTGCAAATAGGATTTGTCAGGGCCTCCATAAAAAATAGTGTGTGCTTCCAACTAAATCAAAGATGCTAAGACGCCTGATTATATCGAATTACGGGCTGATAGATGGTCTGTACCTTGGTTCTTTAAAGGTTCTTCGGCCTCGTACTCCCCACCTCCCCCAGAACTCTCTTTGTTTGAATTTGTTGAGCTCAAAGGCAAACAAGTTTCATTTTCTAGCGCTTAAAGATTGTTACACCACGGCTGGGTGTATCTGTGTCCGCAGTATCTTCTCTGGGGTGAGTAACGGTAGGTGATAAGCCACTGCGCTCATAAAACTTATATTACGTGTTGAATTTAACGCTCAATTTTGAATGCTTACAAGGTAATGAGGCCTGACTGTCGGGGAGGAGGTATTTCTGGGAAATGTAGAAGAAGTTTGCAAAGGGAAAGCTAGATAATATGCGTATAAAAAGATAGAAGAGAAGGAGGGAGGTAGCTATGAGGAAGGTCTTGCCTTCGTTTAACTTTAAACCAAATTCCCTCCTCAATTAGATTATCCCCCGAACTTTATTTCTGTTTATATCCGAAATTCTATAAATATTCTCATGCAACACCTTAAACCCCAACCCCATTCCCCTCCCCCACCCATTGGCATGCATCGCTGCGTCAAGCCCCTAAGCCGAAACTAAACCCCCAACTAATTTGCAACATTTTCAACTTCTCAACAAGTTTTTCGGGGGGGTGGGGGGGGAGGGCTGGAAGGGGGGATGACTTTCCCAAAACTGAATCCCAGCCATAGAGCGAAAGGCAATTTAATAATCATGAAGCAATTTGCGCTGCACTTCAGAGAAGTCCAGCCCCCACCCCGCCCTTCTGTAGTCTCGTTCCGGCACTCCTTCTGTTGCTCTTAGCCGGGCTAATGAAATCATTGCCAGTGCTCGATAAAGCGTTAAAAAATCATCAACTTGCTAATTAGGTTGACTAAAATGCTTCGGTGGCGACACAAACTTTGCGGTGGGGCAATGATGGGCTAAGGCATTAAACCCGCCCCCCCCCCCCCCCCCCTTTTTCCCAGCCCCTACCACCCCCCTCCCTTGCAACAAACTTTTGCAAGCCAGAAAGTTTCCATGTTTTTTTTTTGCTGGCAGCCAAAGTTTCTCGAGCTGAGAAAAAGGATTAAAAATGTATCTTTTAAATGAATTTTAGCGACATCAAGAAGGTAAATAAATAAATAAATCACTTTTGAAACTACAATTAAATTAAATTTCATCTGTGAAACTTTTTATTGTTCCTTTTTCCCAGCGACAAAATTAAAAATTGTAATTGCAATTTGCTGGCAAAGCGACGTCCACTGCCGCAGGGGCAGACAGTAATTAGCATTTCCTGATCGGCCTAATCAATCAGAGGGGGGTGCGGGGGAAGTCGAGTGGGGGGCGGGTCCGCTGGTTAAATGCCGATAAACTTCCAGGCAAAACAATAACAGAGCAGACAAGGCCAGAAAGAAGGAAGAAAATAAACAACTGGGAAGCCGAAACACTCGATGCCCTCTAAGGTGGGCACTGTACTTCCTCTGGATGTGTAATAAATACAGGACAGATATAGGGTTTCGGTCCACTGGGTGTCGAGAGCCTGGTTCGAACCATATTACCCTGTTTCAGGGCATCAAAAGGCCAACAAAGTCAAGAGCGATAAACAAAGTGGAGCACAGCATTGGTGGGAGTGGGGGAGGGAGCTACGATTGGAATCGGGGGACGGGGGGAGAAGTGGGTGGGTGGGGCAACTCTTGGCTCAAATTGTTTCCCCGTAGCTGTAGCTGTGGCTCTGGCTGTGTTCGTGGCTGTTGTTGCTGTGATTGTAATGGATGAATTTATTTTGGCTTAGCTGTTGGCCAATCTGTAGAGCAGACACAGAGAACGATTCGGCAGAGCAGAACATGAAGCTGGTTGTTTTTTTTTTGGAGGGCGTTGTGCTTGGGGGCGTGTCTCTAGCAATTTTCAAGTTGATATCTTTACCAAGCACCAGCACCAGCCTCGAGAGTACATGTGCAGGAATGCAGGAGAGCTCAGAGCTCAGAGCTCAGAGACGAGCAGTGGGTGCGGCAGTCATCAGCAAACAGACTAAGTAACCAATGGCCCAAAGACTGGGAAAGCAACTGCGAAAGGGAGAGAGTACTAGAGAGAGAGAGGGGTGGAAAAACTAGTTGTGTTCAAACGGAATTCGGAAGGAGACGCTCTGTCATCCCCTACTGCGATAATGGTAGTATCAATGGGCAGAAGGGGCATTAACGGTTATGCATGAGTCCTAGATAGGTTGCACATTCAAAACTTTAATCGATTGGCCATCAATTTAGAGCTGCTTCTTGTGTTTATACCAATTTATACAGTTTTCAAGTATATCCAATGGCAATTTATATCGAGACCCTTCTGACATCGCAATGTAAATACACTTCTGCTTCTCCGCTCCGCTCCCCTTCCCCTCCCCTTCTTATCTCCTTTTGCAGAAACTTTCAGTTGTCTATCACTCTCCTGCCTCCCTAGCCCTCCACCTGGCACACTTTGTAGCCACTTTTATGACAAATATAACCCCAAAACGAAACGAAACGAAACGAAACGAGAGGCAGAGGCAGAGGCAGAGTGCACAATGTTGCCAGCGTCATACGAGCACGTAAACTCAACTGCCACGCCCACTTTACACCCACCCACGCAAGAGACAAGAGACAAGAGATATCCTGATATATACTAGTACTTGTACTCGTACTCGTACTCGTACTCGTATATATATCTATGGTATGGTATTCCTAGGGCCAGAGACAAATGCCTTTGCCATTGAAGACGAGTTGCCATCATCGGTGTCTCTTTTCCCTCGTTAAATCTGTGAAAAAATATGTCTGGCTTTCCGTTATACAGGGAGTTATCTGTAGGGTTACAATTTCCTTTCCTTTTTTTACAGCACTCTTCTCGTTGTTGTTGTTGGTGTTGCTGTTGGCTTGTTAACAACACCAGGAGGCAGACACTTCCTTGGGCTTCCGCTGCTCCTTCATTGCTGGGTCCCACGCTTCCTCTCCTGGTAGATACATACATACATACATACACATGTACGTGTTTCTCTGCTGTCCTCAGCCATTGTCTCAGCCATCCTAGCCCGCTCCTCTGCTCTGCTTAACCTCTTTCCCTTCGTGGGGTTCTATTACCAGGCTTTTTTCTGTGTTTTTCTCTTGTTTTCTGGGCCATAGGCCCCCTTTGTTTGGCCAGAAAAGAAGGCGCCGCTTTGTGTCTCTAGAATGTTTTCTTCTCCTCTCTCCGCTCTTTTTCCCCGCTTAAGTTGGAATGTTTAACGCTTGTGGTGGGGACAGAGGCAGAGGGAATAGTGCTCTATTACAATATGCTGCCATTGATGGCGGAGATGGAGATGCAATCGAGGAAGGTGCTCGGCTCCTCCTCCTGCCGGACGGAAGTTCTGGCCACACAGCAAACAACTTTGTTCCCAGATGGCAAGTCGTCTCCAAGGGGCATGGGAAACAGTCAGTCAAACCGTTTAAATGTTATCAGTGGAGTGCTCGCGATGACTCACAAGTGAGTGAGCCAT